GCAGATAAACTGCTGTCCTTTTTTTGGTTGTTCTGTTAATACGAACAAGGGTTGTTATCAAATTGTTATCTTTTTTTAACAAAATAAGTACTTATGAAACAAATGTAAATAACTATTTTCTACTTAACCACAAATATATTATATATTATAATATATATTATAATTTAATCAAACCATCCATCTATAAACTCTAACTAGTTTACAATTCATTCCTATACTTATTAATACATTTTGAATTTTTAGCCCCACAAAACACATAAAGCCTTTGGGCTGCCCAGGATTTTGCTGTAAAGTCATTAAGGTGTGATGACTGCTGTCAGAATGAACAGCGCAAGAAAAAAAAAAATACATGCAAAGTACCAAGAGTGCAAATACGACTCAGTGGCATATAACCTATCTCACTAATTTGCAGAATTGAGTTAACATACACCCAGTCAACTCAAACGTATATGTTGACCCTCCCCATCCAAGGCTAATTTTAAACCTACTGATATTCAGAAGAACATGAAAAGTACTTGAAACCCAGTTGGTGCCATGTCTCAAGACCACACAAAATGCCTGCTATGCATTTTTCTTCCCCTTTCATTCCTGCTCCCTGCCTTTCCTTCCCACTATCGCGCTCTCTCATCGATCAATGACACAACTTGGGAGATGTGTGCTTCATCAAATGCCTGAGCGTATTTCTCTTTCTGCTGGCAAAGCAAGGTATCCGAAAGAGGCAATCCTGCCACCTAACCTTACTTAGAAAGGTGGGGTTATTACCATCTCCGGCCACACAAAAAGCATTTCCATCAGGCTGGCCAGTAGAAAACCTGAATTTTGTTTTGAAATAAATAAACCTGTTGATCTTTCGCTACCTTTCGCGATTACTCAGTAAGAGCAGTAGCCAAATAAAAGACAGGCAATATTTAGAGCATGTGTTTGTGTGTGTCAGTACTGCACAGGATCACAGGGTGGTCTTCTGCCAGTTGTTAGCTGGGTGATCAGCTGTTAAAAAATTTTGAGAATCTGGTGGTGCGCTACATGTTTGTGTGTATGAGAATGTCATTTTGTTTGTGAGTACTTGTGCAAGCTCCACTGCAAACCTCCGGATGGTATTTAGTCAGTGGTGTATCAGCTGCTGACATTTAGATAAATGCCTGCCCTCCAGAGCAGACCTGCCCTTTATGCTCAACCAGGAGAAAACAATGCAGAACACTTCTAGATTTGCTGTGTGTGTGTGGAGCCTGTTACAAGTTGCAGACTTTATCACCTTTATTTATTTGGCATGTTGCGCAAATGCCGACCTGAATGCTAAATAGGAATATGTGTATTTACCTGAAGCCAACAATAGGACACTCCTTGCAGATGTTACACTTGGCCTGATGTTTCGCCGTTTCTGCAGCAGCCACTCTGTGCAGGACAGGAAGCCAAACCATGGACTGAGGCTCCAGACGCATCCAGTCAATGAACTCCCTGGGCTTTAGCTCCACCTTATTGTTTACCTAGACATTTAAAAAAACAAGGAGGCAGGATTAAGAATTAGGCATTTAAATCAAAGGTTTATCAATCATATGATTTACAGTTCAATAAAGGTTCAGCAATGAGAGCTGATAAAATATAAAAGGCACTCTGCAGCATGGGAGAAAAACACGCAGACCAGAAATAACCAACAGGCAATAACTTCTGACTTGTTACCAAACACGCAATAAAGACGCAGACAAATTTAAGATGACCATACATATTAAAGTGATGAGTCCCTGCGGCTCGTTAAGGCCTTGAATTGTGAACCAAGACTAAATAACTTTTATGAGCTCTTTATTCATGTTTATTGGTTGAAATATCTTACAGTAAACAATGATTGATTTTAACACCCTCTCTGCCCTACACACCCCATAGTTGCACTGTTAGATAACAGCATTGTTGCTCTGTGCAGATACCGTTGAAAAACGCTCTTAAACTCCTACTCATATGTGCTGCTTTATACTTTTGGGGGTGTAACTTGTACAGTGCTATGCATGAAAACTGCAGAGTAAACAATCTGCTTATCTCCTGTTTCAATAACTTAAGTTCTTTATTAGCTTAACCAATCAAATGTTTTAAATGATTCCAACAAGTGCCGTAATCCAACACAGGAATGTTCACAAGATGTTGTTCAGCTGGATCTTTGCTCATCTGCAGACAATAATGAACCCAATGGAAAAGTCAACACATGAAGGAAAGCTTTGACATGGCTGCTGTTACTGCAAAACAAATCAAAGGCAACCTTTCCATCATGCCTGACACACAAAAGGGCAGCAAAGGGCAGAATACATTTGCAACAAGAAGAGCAAACAATCAAAAGGAATAACATTAGTAAATGTGTTTGCATGTTTCCTCCTGATCCCTTTTCAAGGCTTATGGTGTGCAGGACTATACGGCATCTCGACTTCATTTACATATACTTTTGAAAATAAATTCCAGCTAAAATATGAATCAAAAAAAAAAAAAAAATCACACATTTAAACCAAAAAAATCCTGTTCTGGCTGGACTCTCAATGTAAACAGTGTCAGGATGTCTTTACCTTCTCTCAAAGCTTTTGTTTTACTGAACATAATATATATATTTTTTACTTCTACTCAAATCAAAGTCAGGTTTCTAAGGTTTTTTTTTCTTCACCATCCCAAAGTCTAAACTAACAAAATAAAGGTATTGTGGAACAGTGACACTTAATTTAAAATTATCTGTGGAACAGAAATGCATCAAGTATCTTTGTCCATTTCAAAGTTTATATTGAGAAAAAGGATCAATTTCAACAAACAAAAAGCCAAATATCCCCGTTTTCTGCTTCAAATGCCAATCCTAAAAGGGAAATATTTGCACTGTTTATAGGAGTGTGGTGACAGAGAAAAACCCTATCCTTACTGACTCTTGTAAATCTGTCTGCTGGCCTTAAAACCCCTTAATATTATCTAAATATATGGTTGATAACCTTTAAAGGGAAACAGCTGATCAAAGACAGGACATATTGACATGTGGCATCATTGATCTTATCAATCAAAACTGCCTTCAAATTATCCCAAAAAGCCATGGTGTACTCGTTTACTCTCAGCCTTTCCCATTTATCATAACTGTGTCATAAATGCAGACGACGATACTGTAAATCAGCAGATATCTACACTGGATATTGGTGAAGCTCTAGTTTAAATTCATTGTATCGGTGGCTCTTTTTACTCAATTACAATCTTGTAAATAATAACATGCTCCATGTAACATATATTTTAGTAACTGCAGGTAATCAAAGAAAGCTATATTTTGGTATTCTTTATGAAACTCTGCTTTTTACACTGACATTGTCCTTAAAGTACTAAAGTGAGGTTTAACTTTAAAAAATTAACCTTGGGTTTGGTAACTGTTAATGTTTCTGAGGCAGGTTTGGGGGTTTTTTTTGTGGTTTTTTTAAATTGAAGACAGCTTTTAAGATTCAAATTCATAAATGAGAACACATCCAATTAATTCCTCACCTTTATGACTTCTCAAATGGTCTTTAACGCTCCTCCACTCTTTCATTTGATCTTCCCATGCACCACCTCTCCATCTCTCCTTTCCCATACATTAGTCTGATCTGCGCCTTCTCTCCCTCCTACTTACCATCTAACGGCAGAATTATAGCACTTACAGATTAATTGCTGGGTGTCTCAAAGGATGACTAGATAGATGGACGGATGGATAAATGAAGGAGAGTAACAAAGGAATGGCGAAAGAGGCTATATTTACGGCGGCGCAACTGATTTATCACAGACCCCATTAACGGAAATGGAATAAGCGACTGCCCTGTCACTGATGGGGCTGACTGACACACAGGTGGCATGGGGCTTCGCTCGTCCATGTGTATGCATGTGTAAATAAAAGAGACACAGAGAGTGTGTGAGAGTTTATGTCTGCCTGGTTTCCACTTGCCATCCCGGCTGGATGATTGAATGATTAATGAGCAACTGGACTACAGCTGGCACAGCAATTCACGACCAAGTCTATGAGCAATTTATGTCCATATAAGCTAGTGCATGCACTCGTGCATGTATATATCTCCTTGTGGATATGTGCGTATTATTATGACATCAAGGCGAGGCAGCAAGGTGTTTGCCTCTTTGCAATATTTCGAGAAGAAAACAGAGGGAGAGATAAAGTTTAAAACTGCCTCCCTCTGCTATTTTGGGAGGCGCGCGGCAGGAAATCAGTGAAATTTATAGCTTCCTAATTTTAATGTTTGGCTCCCATTTATGACCACCGAAGCACGAGCCAGGGGGAGGAAGAGTGAGAGAAATAAAACAGTGATCCTGGGGGGGATAAGGACATCATTAAATGCCAGTAACGTCCAGAGGTAAACTCGCAGAAAGTGGTTAGCTGACTGCAGTAAAACACTAGAGGACAGCCAGCAGAGCACCGGAGGCCATTTGAGGCTTTGTGGTTGGTTAGCAGAGCTCAAACACTGAAGTACTTTTCACAGGATCTGGTGTTAGGTGGGTGGAGAAGGTGAAAAAAGCTCAGATGCTCGATGATAATCAGCCTTTGGAAGATGCACTGAATAATAATGTCATATAGCACACCCCACTGATAAAGCAGCCATGGAAGGAGAAGATGATATCAAGAAGGCACTGAGTCAATGTGGTTATCCCAGCTGGACATTTGTCAAAGCTAAGAAGGCACCCAAAGAATGCTCCAGGCCATCCAGGAGACATAGACAACTGCTGCCTTAGCGAAAACCTATAGAAATCCCGTATGTGTCAGGAGTATCGGAATAAGCTGAGACGCATTTTCTCTAAACACTGTGGACTCTGTGGCTTTTAAACCCCACGCTGTGCCAAAAATTGGCCCACCCCAAATATCCAATCACCCGGCACAAACAGAGTAATATAGTGCACGCTGTTAAGTGCCAGGAGGACTGGATGATTTATACATTGGGGAAACCAAACAACCTCTGGCTAAGTGGACGGCACAACACAGAAGAGCTACCTCGTCAGGCCAGGACTCTGCAGTCTATTTACACCTGCAGGCCAGTGGACACTCTTTCAATGATGAGGATGTACACATCCTGGACAGGAAGGAATGCTGGTTTGAGTGGGGAGTCAAGGGGCCTAAGGGTACATCTTTCACCATCCTAAAATGGTGTGATTGCAGCCATTCCCCAACTCTCTATGAATGGTACTCATGGCCATTGATCAGTGGTTGTTGATCAATGGTCATGACAATGTGCATTTTAATGATCAAGAAACTGACCTTACAGCCCATTGTTCAGTCCACTCGTTGTGCAAAGGTAGTTTCTTGCACTGAAAACGCTACATCAAGATGAACAGAATCAACTTTTTTTGGCAGCGCTTTTTAAGCTCATACCTTTCAGCTTTTTTAGATTCTGTAGGAGACAGCTGAGTCAAAAGACAAGCAGTGTCCACGCAAGAAATCTTTGTTGGATAATTGGAAAATCTGACTTTTCTTTTACAAGTATTAACAAGCAGTGACAGATGGCAGAGACAAAATGTGCTTGTGACAAACAAGAAGATGTCTCTTAAGATAGAAATAAATATGATATGGTAGAGTAGGTTCCAGAGGAAGACATGAATAATATATTAACAGAAAAATCCCCAGGGATCGATTGCCTAATCGGCGTTATGAGTTCATGCAAAAAATATAAAGCATAACATGAACCCTGTAGCTAACAGGAGATATATTATCGTAAGAAGAGATTTAAAGATTTAAAGCTTCTGCTTACACATGAGCACCAGACTACCAGTTAACTGTACACAATATGTGTACATAAGATAGTTTTTCCCCAAACTAAAATGAGCATATATAAGAAAAACAGCAATAAAGAGGTAATTTTGAGTCGACTAGTTTCGGGCTCATTATGTCCCAGCATTTCTATTCTCTCTGACCAGCACACATTTTCAAACCTTTATTTTAACTAGTCATTAATATGCCATCTGATTTCCCCCACCAGTTAAGCAATCACAATTTCACATTCAGACTGTTTTTGTCAAACGAAACAGAACAAAAACAAAGCAAAACAAGATAATCATTTTCAGCTTATGTATTAGAGGTAAAACCAGTGAAATCATAGTTTAAACACGGAGAAAAATCACTGATTAATCAGATTGAGGTTATAGATTTATTACAAACAAAAACCCTGAACTTGTTATTCATTAACATTTTGGGGAAAAAAGACAAGAAAAAGAATTTAAATTGATTTTCCCCCCCATGTTTATAATCCATCCAGTGTTAAGAACATTACAAGACTATGGCATGAACAGCTTATGTGCTTCTGTATTCTTCAGATGTGTGTAGGAGTACACTAACGTGATGTGTTAAATGCACATGTTTCTGTGTGAACATACATGCTGGAAGCAGCTGCGAACACTGGGTTCAATGTTGGAGCCTCCAAAGGCAGCCACCTCGCCCAGCTGTCTTGGGATCTGGATGGCTTCATGAAGCAGCAGTCCAAGCTGCCGCTGGTCGCACGTGTCACCTGCTGACGCCACCTGGCTGAAGAGGTCTGCAGAGAGAGGACAGAGAGGAGCAGTGAGGTAAAAGAGAAGGAATAAGAGAGAAAGTTAGAGCATGTGGGTGATATTTAAAATAAAAATAAGTATAAATAGAAAAGATGTAGAGAAGGAAAGAGTGACAATACAGCAGGGAGTGGGAGGGAAAAGCGTTAGTGTATATGTGGGTGAGAGGGAGGACACAAAAAAATCTTTTGAATTTTGAATCTTTGTGTCTTAGTTTTTTCCACAGCAGGCTTTTTTTCCTCTAATCTTTCCCACCCCGTCTCCATCTTTCCATCCCTTCTCACGGAGATTGACAAAGCTCCGTACTGGATATGGATGCCTGCCCAATGACACACTATCTAAGCTACTCTGCATGTTGGCAACACCCCCCCCCCAACACCCCCCCCCCCTTAGATGAGGTTACGAAACATCGCTGGAGCACATGCACAAAATGAGCAAAGAAGGCAGAGAGTGTAATCCAGAGAAAAAGAGGAGAGGAAAAAACAGAGGGCATGACAGGTCTTTCTGCTCCGCTTGCCACTGTCTTTGATCTCTCTGTGAAGCCTGGTCCTGATGCCAGCTCCTGCCATGACTGTGTGTGGGTGTTCATGGATTGCACATGCAAAAAAACACACACATCTCTTATGAAATCTTGCTGAAGACCGACATCTCCAGCTGATTCAGTCCAGTACAGATATACATCTGACATTTGCAACTGTCAAAAATGGGTGTCAAATAACAGGACACCTAGTTAGATGCGTGCGCAATGCAGTGCAGCTATCTGCAAGGGACTGACAGTCAATGAGACCCTAAAAGAGTAAAGGAGGAAGGACGCAATCAACCATGCTAGATACCCTTCTCAGGCTAATAGAAACTGCCAGTGGAACGAATAGGCTCAGGGATGGAGTCCATGCCAAGGGAAGAGAAAAGGAGGCGAAAGAGTAAGAAAGGAAAGAGGATGGAAGCAAGACTAAGTAAGACAGGACAAAAGATAAAGTGGAACTGTTAGATGGATGAACAGTGGCGTGAGCAGTGACAGCAAAGGAAGACAGGGAGCGAGAGAGAGAGAGAGATAAAGCAGCAAAAACAAAGAGCAGGAAGCTAGGATGACATTCTCCTCCCAGTGCAGCAAGCCTATATTCACGCTCCCTAATCCTAAAAAATAAGGGAGAATAGAAAATTAAATAAAGAACAAGAGAAACGCGGAGGAGGTCTCTCATCCAATTAGACGACCCGATTTCTAACTCCTCTCCGTCTCGAGTTTGATTAATACTGCTGGGAGTACAGCCAGCAGTATCACTTGAAATCGGAGACAGGCTGGTCTCTTATGAAAGGAACGCGAGTGAGTTTAGATGCACGTGTACAGAATCAAACGTCACACCAACTCGCTGACACTTACATTTGTATTTCTCCTCCAGGTGTCCCTTGGAGAGAGAGAGCAGGCCAATCTTCATAGACAGTACCCGGATCTTCCCACTGCGACCACTGCAGACAGCACCACGGAGACACCAAGCAGAAAATTAGTTACATTTACTGTTGCTGTGTGTTTCTGAGTATACATTCAATTTAAGTGTAGCGAGATCATTTCAGATTTGAATTACATGCAACAACAGAGACATAAAACCATTATGTGCCAGGAGAGGAAAGGATTGCGTGCAGGACGTTGTGATTTGTTTGTGCTTTTTTCCCCTGAATGCGCACAACGGTATTTAGAGTGGGGAGATGGTTGGTTTACAGTGTATGAGTGCACACATGATTATGCAGAGAGTACTGTATGTTCTGGCGAGAGCAGATTATATTTACATATGAAATCTGCTCCTAAATTAGCACAATGCGTAACACGCCCACTTGCCGACTTATGCATATAACATGATGACAGCAAGAGGATGTGCATTGTTGACATGACAGCTCCTTTAATGCAGTCTAATTTTAAACAAGTACATCATTCATGTGCATGCAACAGCATGAAGAAGTAAGCTTTGCTTCAAATATGTATGGCAACATGTATTGCAGATGGCATACGTACGTGTCGTAAACATTAAGCAGCCAGTTGAGACACATGTCAACGCAGAGAGGCACGTTAACCAGGTCTTTGTGCTCCTGTTCCAGGCCATCGTAGATAGAGGTTAGGCAGTTGATGACGTCGGGAACGGTTAGCAGCTGATTGTTATTGGTGAGTTTATGCTGCTCAAAGGTGTTCTGGGCAACGCTGAGGTCCAGCAAGTCCACTGCAGATGAATGGGGCGGTCGAGATATAGAAGGAGAGAAATAGTGAGGAGAAGGAGGCGGGAGGAAAATGGAAGAAAGGGACAAAGAAACACAGGACCATTAGTAACCTTTCCAGCTTGCTCACTGAGCTTTCAGCAGCTGCTCTGATTTTTTCAACAAATGTCAAGATATCAGAAAAGGACAAGGAGCTGAAAATGGCACAGGCTACTTATAGAAGAACTTCTAAACTACAGAATTTACTGATATTTTATCAAAATAGTTTCATAAAAAAATAAGTGCAGGGGTAGGCCAGAATTACAGACAGAAAATAGATGGATCCATTGTGGAGAAATGTGAACTAGAAATAGACAAACGAGGAACAGAGATGAAATAAATCAGACTGAGAGCAGTCTCTCTGGAGTCTTGGCTCTAGAATGACAAAAACAAAAATGTAACCATATTTTTTATATAGAATTTCAATTATGCCTCCATCATACTGTCCCCTTCACTTACGCATCTGAAGCGCAAGAGAGACGGCAAAAAAGACGGAAAATCGAACGAAAGAGGATAATTGAATAAAAAAGCCGGCGCATCGAGACGAAGTACCTAAAATATAAATAAATACAAGAGAAGCTGCTGTATTTATAGTGCTTGAGCATGAACTCCCCATCATAAGAGGCCTTTAACTGTAACAGTGCAGTACTTCTTTTAGAATAAGGAAATATAAAAGCACTCGGAGAACGTAACGCCTCTCGAAGGACAAGGGTTATACTAAAAATCTGATGTTTTATGATGTTTTAATTACACTACGATGACGTCAGCCTGTTTTCATTACAATATACTGATATCAGCAATATGGAAATCTAGTGGAGTATATTAAACTTTGAGTGTCACTGTGAAGTCATACTGTTGTATTGAGATTTTTTTTTTTTTTTTAAAAGCTCAGACTAAGAAACATGTAACATATAACATTATAAAACAAAAATCCTTCCAGAGTAACGATATTGTCTCCATTTTAAAGAAAGCAACAGCCGGTTTGGTCCTTTAAATCTGTTAAATATCTGACATTAAACAATGACACATCCCACTAATGAGTTAATAAGATAATCAAAACTGCGCTAATATCCTGCTCTTTAATATGACACTGGATCGAGCAGCTGGCTGTCTCTGCCCGAAGTAAAAAATCTGCCGACCAGTACCTTTTAAGCTCACTAATTAACAAATTATATCTCATTTGTTTTTGTCAGCAAAAAAAAAAGTAGATAAGCAGTTTTCTCTAAATGTTACAGCATCTCCTTCTTTGTTTTCTACAGCACATGTACTGCTTAATAAATACATGACAAGAGTCAGGATCTAGTTACATAGTACAAGAATATATTAATAGGTGAGGATGAAGCTCAGATACCAACAGGATTTTTAATTAGTGCTTTGCTTAGATCCACTGGCAGGTCAACCAACCGGGAGGTAAAATGCAGACAGTGGGATAATTACCACAGAAAGAATCATTAACATTTAAAAATCTACCGTACTTTATGGTCACGGCATCTTGTTTCAGATTTATCAAAACATTTCAATACATGGGAGGTTCAAATCTATTTCACAGGTATACAGGAACATAAACCACAGTTGTAAACTCCTCTCTCTCTGCATTACTCTTCTGACCTTTAATGAATTTTCTATAAATATTTAAAAACTTCCACACTGCACATCTCTCTCACCCTCCTGCCCTCAAAGACAGCACTAATTACTGGAGTAATCCACACAGAGTGGACGCAGCAGGGCAGCTGTGCTATCAGAAAGCAAAACTTTACTTCTCTGCAGCTTTGTCATTACACACTCTGGTATGGAGCTGAAAGGCTGTGGCACATTAGTGGATGCCACGCAAGCTCATTTGTGCTTCTCCACCCCCCTGGCACAGACTTAACCCAATTAGCCGTTTTATAGTATCCCCGTCACGTGTGTGTCAAATTCTCTCTCACACACACATGATCACAAACAGTCAGACACATGGATCTCCGAGCAAAGATTCCACATGAATCCAGGCTAATAACTAATAACTACTGATCCTTCTGTGCCTCCATGTGCATGTGTGTGTGTGTGTGTGCATGTCAGTGTGTGTTTGTATACTGTGACTGTTCCAATCTAATGAATGAAATTGAATCGCAGTGCCCCAAGTCGAACTCACTCAGGCTAATGCATTATCGTCACAATCACACGCGCACACAGAAGCAATATGAGATAGCAAACTAAAACGCCTGAATCATTCAAACTCATTAACAACCAACACACACAATAACACACTTTGATATACCCTGCTGGACATGCTGCACATGCACACAACCGTCTGAGGTAACGGTACGGTTTTGATGTGTGGTATTTGTTACACTCGTACACACTCCAAACTACCTACAAACAGCAGGATGTAAATAAACAGTGTAGGCTCACAGTGTGAGGTGCACTAATAATGTCAACAGCTGGATAATGGTTAACATTTGTCACCATTATTACGTTGAGCTGAGCCCAAGTAGCTGCTGCCATGCTGGTTGAAACCCCACATGGAGGAGTCTACATGCACCTGTGATGTGTGTGTGTGTGTGTATTTGTGTATATATATGGTGTTTATAGCCACCTGAGACTCTAAGTAATGGCAACTTCCTATCGAAGATTACATTATAAACATCACTTTCTCATTCTGAGAATGTATTTAGTTATTTATTTATTTTAAAAAAAGCTCCACCTGTGCTCACCAAATGAGGCTTACGCTCAACAGGCTTAACACAAGCACCAGCTGTGACTCTGTATGCAAAGAATCATGCACATAC